AGATTCCACCGTGCACTGAAATTGGGCATTAGTTTGCATAAAGTTTGCCATATATATCACATAATTTCAAAAGGAAGGGAAGATCACAAGAAACTTAATCCATCCTTGTATGTTAGATTAATTTATATAAATCTGCGTGTGAGCTTTCCTCTATAAAAACTGTGGGGGTTTTATGAGGTGTGGGATGCTCTGAGACTTTCCATTAAGTGTTACTCGCTATAACAAATTACCATTATTATCCTGTGCATTTCTATTTCATAACATGTTGTGTTTTTTGTTAGTCTTTTGAAAATAGTAAAACAGATTAAACTAAACAAGAGCTGCCCAGGGATAATAACAAAGTCTATAAAAAGAGAAACTCTCCAATTATAGTTTACAATATTATTAAATCGTAAGAGGCCTTAAAAAAGGTTGAATGAGTCTTCATGTGTATAAGTGGATAAAAAGCACTATATTAGAGCTTGAGAGTGCTGATGATTATATACCGTAATTGGATATGTATGGGATTTGTCTGCGAGCCCCTACTCTGGTGGCTTAGACCCCTCTGGCTCTGTGAGGATGAAGTCACCAAATCCCATTCAGTTTCCAGGCCCTCTGTATGCATGGGGAATTGCTTACCCAAGGAGATGTGTCCCTGCCTGATGGGTTATCTAGAGGAGAAGTAAGTGCCCGTGGCTTGAGGGTAGCATGGTGCACGGTCCCGGCGCTACAAATGCCATTCTTCAAATGAGGCGGCCGTGCCGGGGGGAGGCAGAGCAAGTGGTTAGCTGAGGGTGCTGACAGATGTTGCCTTTTCTTTTAAGACTAAGAGTGGTTTGCTGTCTTCTGGAGAGCTCTTTTACAGTTTTTACTCAGTGGACCTTCAGCAGCTGGTGCCTGTGAAGTCTTTCTGAGAGTGGAGCTATGTAATTCCTTTTCCTAGAGTGGATGGTGGAGGAATGGAAAAGCTGCTGCAGGTGGCAAGGCAAACTACGCTGCTGTTCCATGAAAAGATCCATTAGCTTTAACAAAATCAAGGGATTTCTGTGTTAGGGCTTATACCTCTTATTTTGGTATAGCTACTGCTTGGGCATGTAGTTTTGGCAGTGCTCTGCCTTGGGTGTGACATGCTGAACCACGCACGCTGCAACTGGTGTTGGGACAAGATCCCTTGCTTGAATACACGTTTCAGTGCAGCCTGCTCTGCCCTGACAGGGCGTGTGATCGATGCCAAGGTTTCTGTAATGAGTTTTCATTTTGGTAGTAGCTTGAATGATGCTGATCAACTCTAACAGAAGATACCAGTCAATATCACCTAGTATTGAGAGATGAGCTCTTCCCGTCTTCCCCTGGGCTTTTTGAGGGCCTTTGCATTTGAATTGCCATTTGCTGCTTCTCAGGAGGCTTCTTAGGAGGCCTCCAGGGTCTCTTCCAACAGAGGTATTGAAGCAATGGAAAAATCTCTCTGAGTGTTTTGCGGGCAGCTCACCTGAGGAAAGACCAGTGTGTCTGAGATGATGCTGTTTCCTCTTACAAGTGTCTCTGTTCCTAGGAGCGTGGTCACTTGCTTTATTCAGACCTAAATCTTTAGAATACTGTTTGCAAACAGCTCTCTGGTTTGACGAACAGTCAGCTCAAAAAGTCTGGCCAGCCCAAAGCATCTGCTCTCCTAGCTGTGTGCTCTACCAAGGCCATAACACGTGTCTTACAAGTTGTGCTTTAGCTCAGACAGATGTTGCAATATTCATGCAGAAGCAGCTAAGGTCTTCCAGCCCACACCATGCTGCAAATTAGAAATTATGGTAGTATTGGTGTCTTTGAGGCTTGCAACTTAAAAAATGAAATATTTTCCCCATTTGTGGGCCAGTTTAGATATGGAAATATAAGGACACTCCCCACGCACTCAATGGAGTACGGTTGTTGCCTGCCAGAGTTTGTGTTCATGAACACGATGTTAGAGAAAAAACACTTCTTACTTAATTTTGAGATTTCCTATCTGTGTTTTATTTCCTTTGTTTGCTGAGCTGTATACCGTGTATAATTACTACACAACTCTGTGATAATGCTGCTGCCAGTAAACAAAGACAAGACTGAGTCTCTGTAAGGGTATTAAAGTTTAAAGAGGGAGAAGTCAGTTTTGATTTGCCCATCCCTTCCTGCTCCCCTGCCCAGAAATTGCTCCATAGCTGCTCCACAGCGGAGCAAATTTGGCTTTCCATGGTAGGCTGCCTTTCCCTCCATTGGTGTGTGAGCAAGCTGGGTAGCTTTGCAAAGTTCTTGTGACTTGGATTAGAGCTGTGTGGAGCCCCAGATTTGCTCACCCATTTGACGTACAATACATTCAGCCACTGCTAACGTTTCAAAATCGTTCTGCTGGGATTGTTTCAGGACAAAAGAATGTTTCCTTCATTGCTGTGTGGCCTAATTTCTTATGACAAAGAGCTTTAGCAGCAAAAAACACTGGTGTGAATATAGCACCTGCACACATTCACGTTTAATGTTCATGGACCACCAAAGATGGTATTTAAAGCATACACCGAGGCGTGCTTGCAGGCAGATTTTGCTGTTTAATGGAAGGCTTATCTGAATACCATGGTGGTGGTATGCTTGTGGTTTATTCTGCCCTTTTTTTTTTTTTTTTTTTTTTTTTTTTTTTTAAGAATACGCAGGAGAATAGCTAAGCTGTGAGGCTGATGCCTTTACATAACTGTTTTCAGTAACTTACATCAGATAACTCACAGCTTACAAGCCTTGTTGACTTGTTCTCCCCAAGAAGGGGCATGACCCTGCCTTTGGGATAAGTGACCTGATGGGGGCAGGAAGATCCTTCCCCTACAAGGTTCTGCCTCTCTTGCCAGTAGACCTGGTTTTTAGGGTGGGAAGTGATCAGGCATGGTCCATGGAGACTTATGAGAGATTTTTAAAGAGTACTGTCAGGTGTCATGTTTTTAGTGATTGGTCCTCACAACTTGGCCCATAAATAAATAAATGAGAATCTCACACGTTTTGGTGCATGGGTCCATATCATCTGATAGCTTGAGCTTTTGTTGTCCTTGCTGTCCTCACCTGCCTGCGCGTGCTTTCTCCAGAAATCGGGTTGCCAGAGCACACTTTGGCATTTGAGGGGGAACGATGGTGATGACTGTGCTCCATCCAGCTGATTTACAGCCATAAATTATTCATTTATATAAAGAACGGGGCCTGCAGGTGGTCCCTGCTGTTGCACACGTCTGCAGGTGCCTCGGAGCGGGAACTTCAGCTCCTTTGGGGCAGGGTGGCCCTGTGCTGCCCCTTGTTCCTGCAGCGTGCTCAAAACAAGATTTAGGCTTGGGGGTTCCCACAGCTGCAGTGTATTTACAACTGAAATTCTGTCTGGGTGTCTGTTACTGCCATTTGCTGTGGTTTGTTATTCTGCTCGGGTAGAAATAAAGGAAAGTGATGTATGCTGCTGCCCTGCAGTGGATTACAGAAGAAATGGGGAAAAAAAAGAAGCAGCCCCAACTCTTCATGTATTCTTGAGTCACACAAACTGATGTCTTGTCAAAATGTAGCTTCATCAACCTGTACCTAGAAGGGAAAGGTCAAGTTGTGCTAAAATCTCACTTTTCCCAAACTCTGGGTTTCAGCTCTTGCCTCCACAAACACTCCAGTGGTAGCAGAGTAGGATTGGGCAAGTGAGACTCCTGGTCTGGTAAAGTTAGTTTGGCCTGGGAAATGCAGCCCAGGACAGATAGCAGTCTGTTGCTTGTGAGTAAGGAGTGTAGAGAGTGTTTATAAAAAGCATATGTTGTCTGGCCTTCAAAGACACACCACACCTCCTCTGTTTTACAAAAAACCTAGGGTGTTTGCATGGTAGCAACAACTCAGTGGCTTTGCTGTTGCATCGTGTATGTCATGGGAGACCTGGATTCTGTTGGTAGCAACAGGAGGGATTATTGACCCTTCAGCATGTTTACAACTACGTGCAAAATATTTAGATCGAGTCTTCATTTCACTGGATGCCTTCTTGGATTTGTTTTTTTAATTTATTTTTAAAAATGTCCTTTAACATTAGCACTTTCAAATTCCTTGTTCACATATGGAGTCTTCCCTACATAGAGACACCATGTGTACGTGTGTATATATATGTGTGTGTGTATTTGTCCAAATGTACAGATGCAGTTAATTCTAAAGAGAATTATCTTCAACTGCATGTAAGGCAAAGCCTGTCAGCAGCTGTTAAGCAAGCTGGCTCTAAAAAACAGTGACCAGAAAAATGTGTTAATACGCGCTGTCAAACAAATGTCATAACAGCTTGTTATATTTTATATTTTTTTTTTATGATCAACACAAATTGTGAATTCTAATTGTCTCATTGAGTCTAGGGTGATGTTAGCTAACTTTATCTTTGCCATTAATGTCCTTATAAAAACGATGCTAACTATTAGACCAGCTTCTTAGTGTAGTCCTGATGTCACTGAAGCATTTAAATAAGTGTTTAACATTCAGTATGTGAAAGTATTTTGAAAGTTAAATGGGAATAAATGCACCTGTGGTGCCAAGCAGATGCTCCAGCGCCTTACCAAGTCCTTGTCTTGGCTGTTCCCAAGCAAAAACATCTATTCTGTAGCAGAAAATTACCCGTATTGTAAAGCTGCCACGTGGCTGAGACAACCGCAGAAGGTGCCAACGGGGAAATAGTACAAGAGCCGTCCTTCTGACGTTGGCCGGTGTTATTTGCTGCTAAGGCAGCACAGACATTGTCTCGCTGCAGAAAAACTGTACTGGGAGGGCACAAGCCTCTCCCATCTCAGTGTCAAGAAGGTTGCCAAATGCAACTGCATATTTAAAAAATTGTGGAAGCGGTTTCTCTTTAATCAGATAAACCAGAAGTTCAGAGCGATTTTCACTAATTAGTTTAATAGCACTTGCATTAGAAGACTGCAAATCAGACAAAAAGCGTAATTTAGAGTATTTGAAAGATGTCCTGCTATTACAAGACCTCTCCAGTCTAGTAATGGTTCCATTTTGTTTCCTTACAGGTTAAACATATTGCTGGCTGGTATGAACCCCTTCTATTTCCACGCAGTGAATGTAATTTTACACTGTCTAGTGACTCTTGTGCTGATGTACACTTGTGACAAAGCTGTGTTCAAGGACTGTCGACTTGCTTTTGTCACAGCACTGTTCTTTGCTGTGCATCCCATTCACACCGAGGCTGTAAGTATGTGACACGAAAAAACCTGGTGACACAAATCTAAAAATAAATGCACACTTTTTTTTTTTTTTTTTAAAAAAAAAAGAAACCTCTGAGCCATTCAGAATATGGTACTTGTGATTTTTGCTGTGGAGAGGCAAAGGTGAGAATATAATATATTCTTAAAAATTTTCAGGAGTCATTAAGAAAAAAGTGTATTCATACTTGACAACTTTCTGCTCCCGCATTAAATTCTAATTGGCGATCCTAATCAGTGATGCTGTGAATAAATGGACGGTCATTCAGCAGATGACAATGTTGGGTCTTCTGAAACCAGAGACCTTGGTGAGGTCACGCTCTCCTGCTGGGACATTGTTTCATGCCTTCAGTCATCTCCTACAGTCTTCAATTTAGGGGAGAAAAAGTGAAGGGACCATTAATGTGTATACTGGAGGAGATCGCTCAGATAGAGGTAATAGGACCAATGGATTAATTTATATTGATTTCAATTAAAAGCTAGCAGTATCATATTCAGAAAAAACTTGTTAGCTTAATAAACATCATGTAAGTTTGTAGAGTAGCAGCTCATATTGGACGTTTTCCTGTTTGTTATAAGGAAACATTTAAAGACATAGCCATGCTAAAACTGCAGTCTGTTAGTATGGGGAGGTATTTCTGTAGATAAAATGAGTCTTGCTGTCTTTGAGAAGGAAATGCAATGTCTGGCTATTGGTACTTAAAAAAGAAATGCACTCGTTAGCTGAGATACTATTGATATCACACACTCTCCTATGAGCCTTTGTAAATGAGCGAGGGAAATGGCTGCCACAGCTGAGAACTTTTGAGGAGAGATTACCTTAATAACAAAAAGCCACGAGCTTTACAGTTACTCCCTGTGCTGTCTTGTGTGAACTAATCAGCTAGGCTCCTTTTGATAATAGAGCTTTTTATTATAAGGGAGGTTTTAGAAGAGGCACTCTTTGAATTTATTTTTGTCTGGGTCAGAACTTAAAAAGGTTAAAATAAATGCCAGTGTGCTGAATATAGCTTAATTATGTAATCTCAAAAGAGGCAAAATTTCAAAGGGCCTTTTATTTGCTTTATGGGCAATTTTTAGATCTTTATGAAATGGAATATTGAAACGGTTTGTAAAAAGAGTGTTTAGACATTCTTCTTCAGTATTCCCTTTCTTATAAAAAGATTTTGTTAATTAATATGTAGAAAAAAACTCTTATAAACTCACATTATTCAGAAAGAGAATAAATTACATACCACTCTATCACTTCTTGGTGATAAAGTTAATTCAAATATTAATTATTAACTCATTCCTATATAATAAGTCTTCTCCAATGAGTTGTTCTTTCATTAATATTTTTCTTTAACACATCTCAGTTCTGGGAGTTCGATGCATTTCTCATTTGAACCTTATTATACAAAATCAAAACATCCCTAAAATTGGCATTTCTCTATGCAACTTTATTAATATTTTAGTAAGAAAGTAAAGAATGACTTAACTGTTGGCTTGCTCATTTGTTTTGCGAAGTGAGGAATGCAGCAGATAAAACCGAGCATATCCTGCACCAACCAAGTAACATCTCACTATATTGAGGGACGATCACACTGAAAGATAAAAAGCTTAAAATAGTAGCAGTTAGCATGGATGGTTGAAACAGTCACTGAACGTGCCTGCCTTTTTATATATGTGCTTTTACACCTGTGTGTCTCTTTTCCTTTTAGGTAACAGGTATAGTAGGCAGAGCGGATGTCCTAGCCTGTCTACTCTTTCTGTTGGCTTTTCTCTCCTATAATAGGTATGGATCCTTGCTATCGGTCATGATAGTATCACGAGATGCTCTGGTCTGAGGAGGTGACAAAGGGGAAACCTGTCAGTTTTCGGTGGTTGTTGGCAGAGGTGCTTCCCCCCAGCACTGCTGCGTGGAAGTACCCTGGCCCTGCTCTCAGACGTGGTGCCAAATAAGTGATACTTATGAGAACAAATAAAAAGAGAAGTCAACGTTTAAGGTCCCCTATTCCATCAACGTGATGAGAGGAAGGCTTTTAGAGCTAAAAGTTATAAAGGAATGTTTTCAACTGAAGGCAAATTGTCTGTATGTAGAGTGAAGAATGGATGGACACATGCCTGCCTTTGAAACACACGATGTGACTGTGGGACTGTGAAATACCTGGTCTGGGAGAGTTAATGATTGCGTCTAGACTGTTAGTCATACTTTTCAAATGAAAACTTGGCACCATTTGCTGGTCTGTGTCCTAAAACTGTGACCGAACAAATACAGATAAAGAAATGGCTTTACTCTGCTGGGGTTTCTGCCCCTTTGCATTATTTCATTTAGCAGTAGCACTGTGTCATGGCTGTGTGGAAAAACTGCTTATATCCTTCTTGAGCTGTTTGCCACAAATCTGCAATGCTGTTTTCATCAGAAGGTTTCAAAGGTGTAAAACTGGTAGTGACCTCGCAGGAATGAGCTTGTTTGATTCTGCTTCTTTCTTACCTTCTTCCCTCTCATACAGGCTTGCTGCCCAGTCTGTGAATGATTAAGACACATCTTTGACTCAGGGGAGTGTGGGTGGGATGGAGGAATTTTTGCTTGCATAGTGCATTTTGTCACAGACGGAGAATTAAGTATGTGTGTTCTAGATGACGGAAAGCAGGTGTTTTTCTGCCCTTTCTGTCTTTGTACTTACTCTGCCTTCCTCTGTTTCAAGTGCGTTTTATCTTTCTGGTTGTCTTTTTTCCCTTCCTCTGCACAAAATTCTTTGTGCAGCTCTCAATATTTCTTTTCCCTTCCTGTCCTGTGTCTAAACGTCTCCTCATTGATCAGCAAACAGTGTAGATTGTGCATGTCACTTACTACCAGCATCTTAAGAAATTAAGGAAAAGTCTCTTAGTATTTGTGTGAATATGGTAAACATGAAAATAACAGAGAAGTTAAAATCTTTGTCAAATCTATTTTTCAGGAGCGTGGATCAGCTTTATGTTGGGGAACATTTCCCTCCCACTGCCTCCCCATTCTTTTTGCTGCTTAGTTTATTCCTTGGGACATGTGCAATGCTGGTGAAAGAAACTGGAGTCACTGTGTTTGGTGTGTGCTTGGTTTATGACTTCTTTTCCCTCTCCTGCAATGGACTCAAACTGTAAGTAACTTGCTATGCTTGCTGTGCTTTTCAAATGTTGCCACCTGTGTGTGCAAAATATATATTATTATATACAGCACTGTGGGAGGTGGACTTGCCCTGCTGAATTAGATGGCACTCATCTGACAAATTTGGAGGGCACCAAGGTTTCATTCTGTGGGGTTTTTTTTGTTTGTTTTGTTTTGTTATTCTATTACTGATTGGTAACTTCTGCTGGGTAGATAGACCAGATGTGGAGAAGTGATCTCTAAAATGGTCAGTTCACTCTGGCAAGACTAACATTTATTTTTTCTGTGAGAGTTCCAACTGAAGCATTAACATCTTAAAATTTCTCTGGCTTAACTCCTTCCATTCTCAACGTATGCTTGATTATTCAGTCACAACGTCATGGATGTAGAAATACCACATGATGTTTAGTAGTAAAATCAAGTTTGATCCTTTCTGTCTTTACAGAATAGAAAAAGAGGGAAAATATCCAGCCAGTTCTGGCATGATTGGAATAATTAGCAGCTCTCAGCAGTCACTGGAGAAAAATCAAACACTTTGAAAAGTTTGTATTCCTCACCCACTTAGTGTCACAAATAACTATGCTGTTCTGTATCCCCATTAAAAGTCAGAAGTCTTCTGATTGATAGAAGCTGGTTTTTGCCATTTCTCTCCCAAGCCATACCTGCTGCAGATCTATTGATGACTGAATGTAAGAGCTTACAGCCGCTGAGAATGGGAGGTCTCGCTCCTGCCATTGCTTCTCGTGTTCCCGCCGGTGCTGCCCCACAGGCTCTGGAGCCTGTCACACCCCTGCGTGAGCTAACAGGGCTATAAAAAAGGACACTGAGTTCGTGTTTCCGCAGTAGTGAATTAAATCAGCTCCCAGAAGCGTTTGGGGAGTGCCAGAGCTGGCACAATGTGAGAGTGGCAAATGCAGGGGAGGAGAAGAGGGACTCTGGTCTTTCAGGAGCATCCTGGCTTCCCTCCCATTTCAGCCCTTCCTCTAGGTCCTAAGTGGGGATGGACAACGTTTCAGGCCCACCTGCCCTCCCTCCGACCTCTGTAGCAGCAACAACGATCAGAAGGGCAGGTATGATGGATAAGCAGAGGATTTATCCTATTTTGACCAGATAAGTAGTTCCTAACAGTGTAACTTGTGGGCAAGTAGCCAGCGAGGAGTTTTCTGGGGACTGACAGCTGGCACGCTTGTTCACACTTGCATTTACAGTCTGCCAGGTGTGTTGCAGGAGCTGCCCAGCTAAAGGTAACAGAAATGCTAATTAATTGGGGGAAAATCTGCCCTCTTCCTTCCCTCTGTCCTCAGCCTCCCCCTTCTCATAGGGTCATGTTCCAGTGGCCTTTTCAGCTTATTTCTTTGCTTCAGTGGCATCCACTTGCCCAGATTTGCCAGTTATTTAGCTTGCAGGAATGAAGCTCTGTAGTCCAGATGTGCTGCATTTTCATATTTGCTCTGCTTGCATGTATTGTGCACTTTTCTGTCTGTGGTGCTCAGGATTTTATGACTGTATTTGACTTTTTTAGAGGACAGCAGGAAACCAGCAGCCTTCTGCGTGCTGCTGAAAGTCACCTCCTCCTGCTCCTTCCTCCAACCTGTACAGATTCGTTTTCTGTTTAAGTGAGGCAGAACAATTATTTTCTGCAAAAAATTAGGAATGATACCATATTCTTCTTCTACGTGCTTTCCATCTTACCAGAGGTCCAGAGACCAGTTTGATACAGGAACACTCATCTTCTGCTGCTGTTGGGTCTCTTCCTCTAGATCTAGTTAGGAATTAATAAATCCTGTCCTTCCAGCACACAAAGGGTTTGTATTTTGGAGTAAATAAAATGCTGTCTGTTGTAGTTAGATACCACGTTGTGCTGTTCTCATCAACTGTTTGATAAGTACACATGAAAAATAAAAATTCTTTTTCTCTCCCCTTCCCCCCTTTTTTTTTTTTTTTTTTTTGTTTGTTTGTTTGTTTGTTTTTTTTTGTTCTCTCCATGCGTAATCAGGGGAAATGGGGAGATCCACCAGAGACCTGCCCGGCAGTCTGCAGCTTCTCCCTCTGCCTCGCTGCCGGTCCCTCCGGCCGGCCGGGAGAACGGGAAGCATCGCTTTGCTCACCGGGGCACCTGGAGCTCCTGCCACCCGGCGTCGCCGGAGGAGCCGCGGAGCGGTGGCCTTTCTGTGCCCAGCAAAGCCATGTGGGCCATTCGGAGGTACTGCTGGCTGCCTGCTGCTCCGCTGGGGATTAGTTTGCAGCCGATCCTACCTTAAAATGTCAAGTCGTTCACTTCGTCTTGGCCATTATTATCCTGGAATGTGCTGTAATTTTTCTTATGCTACTGGAGAGGGAAGAGAGGAGCAAGTGGAAGGAGGGAGGGTTAAGGGAAGAAAGAGGGAATTGAAAAGTGCATTTCTTCTGCTTGGGAAAAGGAAAGTATCTGAGAACTGTCCATGTCCTGAGACCTTCTGTCCTAATATGATGTTGGTCGGCAGTGCTTACCTTCCCAGCTCCTTCATGGAGAAACCCAAAACTCTAATGCTAGTCTGAATATGAAGAGGTGGAATATGTACGTGTATTGTAATGCCCGAAGCGAGGCGAGTGCAGTGCAAGCAGTGCACTGTGTGGTATTGTTATACATCTGTATATACGTGTTTGTAGGTATAATTTCTGCATGTGGATATACATATAGTGGACGTGTGTGTATGCACATTTATGCACCTATATGAAAGCAGAGGCGATGCCCACCTCTGCTTTATGCCTAGGAATGTGCATAGAACAGTGGGAGGCGGGCTCAGGCAGCAACAGAAGGATTTTCACCAGTCGTGTCCAGGCGTTGTCGGCATGTTCACGGGGGAAGGAAGGATTCTAGGGCCACGTGGGACCAGCTCCTGGTGCCCTTATTCCTGTGCAGCAGCACTGAGGTAGTAAGAGCATTTAAGGGGGTGTGACTGAGCAGCCACCCCATGGATCTGTACCAGAGCGTGGGGGTTTTTTTCTTCTAACCTTGACCTCTGTTACAGTCTCCCTGGTAGCCCTTGCAGAGCTTGCCCTTTGTGGATGACTTGGTTTATAACAAGAAAACACTCACAGTATAACTTAATTTGGAGATCTGTAAGAATGAATTGCCCCACACTACCTCTTTTTGGAGAAAGTGTTTTGTTCCTGAAATAAATCAGGAATTACCTGCTGCAGTTCTCTGATCATTTAATAGTTGGCACCTGAACGGGCCCCATGCAGCACTCCCGAAACCTGGGAAAGGGAGTGTTTTATTTCCCCATAACACTCCTCATTAATCAGTTCAGTAGGAGCTGTTTGTTTGTTGTTGGGGTTTTGGTATTGTTTTTTTTAGATAATCTTCTTGCTTCATCTGTATTGATGACGTATAGGCGCTAGATGAGATCTGTGACTTTTCAAATCACAGTCTGTTTCCTCTACCTGTAGTTTAAATGGTTCAACCCACTCAAGAGCTTCTGCTCCACAGGTGTTTTGCCTGGCTGGTCTGTCTTGGGGATGGTTGGGTTTTTGGTTTTTCTTTTAGAACAAGGAAGGGAGTGGGTTTGGTCGTGTTGCCTCTCCATGTGGGAATCTGTCATGCAAAAATGGTAAGGAAATCAAGGTTTTTCTGAGTGGGTAAGTGCTAGCTGCCCTGGCACAGAGACTCTTCTGGCCATTGGGCTTCCAAAGCTTTTTGTTTGTCTGAATGTATTTCTTCTCCTGTAAACCCAAATGAGTAGCACAATTAGAAAGTGTGGTTGACCCTGGTTTCTTCTAATAATGCCAGAATGGGCTGCCCAGAAGTCTCATTTAACATCTTGCCTCTAAAATTTAGAACCTGGTGGGGTGGAGTAGCCTGAGCATGACACTCGTGCAGCTGCTATTCCTGGCCTTTGCTCTCTCCATGTCTTGATGCTTTTTGTTCTCTTTGATACTTGTATTTGTTCCCATTTTCCCTGATGGGAACTATGGTGGAGGGTATCAATATAAAACATGTCTCCTGTCGTGCTCTACCTTCTTGTTCCTTCTTTCTTTTACTTCTGTTTCTTTCTTTCTTCCTACTGCTCCTTTCCCCCTCCTTTGCTTTTTGCTTTTTCCAGACACTTTCCCTCTGCCCCTGCTTTTGGGAATGTCCCTTTCTTAAACCAAGGGGGAAGCCTCTAGTTTTCCAGCCTCTTCAGGAGAGGCTGAAGAAGTTTTGTTGGAGAGACAGTGCACGTGGGATGGCTTCACAGGGAACTCGTGCGCGCTGCCAACTGGCAGTTGCTTTATGGCAGCTGCCTCTTCGATGTAAAGGATTTCTGCACATGGCGAATCAAGCTCTGCATGTACATAGATCTTTTCTGTTTGAAAAGGGGCTCACATGATGTAAGCCGCTCAGCTTCTCTTTTGAAGTGACTGACTGTGTGCAGCACACTAGAAACAGCCTGCTGCGTGATGGTTCGCTGTGGGGTGCCCAAAGCAGAGCTGGCTTTGCTGCAGTGTCTGGGAGGGGAGCCTGCTGCTGCACATTTGTGTGAGAGGTGTGCCCGAGAGCCCTGGGAGAAAGCCTGGGATGGGTTGATGGATGCTGCTTTGAAAAAGACTTCTCTAAAACACTGTTGGCAACCTTCCTTGCTAGCTCTTCGCTTGCTCTGAATTCCTCTTTCCTAATGAAGGCAGGATAATGCTGGATAACTTCTTGTTGCGTGGAACGACAGCATCATGGAGCCTGGGCAATTTGACTAGGGCCTGCTTGTCTAACATCAGTGTTTGCTAGTCACTATAAAAAATAAATGTGCTGCTAGAGCATTTGTAACTTCAACAGATCTTCTCAATTCTCAACCACATGGAGTGTGCTTGCAGTAGTATGGAACGGCAAGATTAAATGCATTGCAGCTCACTGACTCTCAAAATGATCTCCATGTCATGTGGAGGTCTGTGGACTACTACCTGATTGTATGGCTGCAGTCTTCTCCTTACTTCCATTTCCAATCTGTCCTCTCGCAGGACAGATTAAAATAGTTGAAATACTTTCTGTACACAGTCTTTCTCTAGTGCTATTGGCATATTATATGATATGAAGTAGCAAGCACTCGAGGCAATTGCTCTATTAAAATACAATCCATCTTAAAAAAAAAAAAAAGTAAATCCTTGCTATAGTTGAAAAAAAAATAGAAGGAAAAAAAAATGAAGTTGCTGTCAAACATACAAAATTAATTACACAATTTCTCCTGTGTGATCGATGTTTCACTGACTTGTGTAAGTCTTCCATGGCAAAAGGGAGGGGAAAAGATTTGAAATATTGCAAAAACTCTGAAGTTGGAGGGCAGATTGGGCACAGTGAAGTAGCTTCAGGTACCTTACATAGTGCAGTAGGTTGCTAGTTGTAAGGTCTTAATTAGCATAAAATAGTAGTGCACTGCTTAATTTGTACTTTTAAGTACTCGTAATATGATCATTTAGCTCTCTATTAATAATTTATTATGTATCTTGCTACTAGAGCTAACTGAAAAATGCAGGGAAACATAATGGAGGAGTTAAGGGAATCTGTCTAATTAGAAGTAACCAGAGCTAGTTACATAAATTCTTGGTGCAGAAGGATTTCTGTTCTTTATTGTCACTTGGTTTTATCTTCATCTATCTGGTGAACATGTGGGTTGCATTCCTGGGTGCCTCCAGGAGTAAGTAATGAATTAGTCTGGATGAAATTGTAGGTTTTATCACTGTGATTTATTGGAATTTTGGGGGATCCTGGCATATACTACTGAAACAAGGTAACGAGGATCTCTTATGCGTTTGATCCATCTCCCTGAGTTTAAGGTCTGAAAGAAGCTTGTGACCATATGTGCCCTCCTGTATGACATAAATGGAGAAGGGCACATGGGAACTTTCACGTCAAGCTCGTATTTGTTCAGGACAAGGCCAGAGGTTCAGTGCTTTCACTGTGGCGGTGCATTATACATATATTTGTGCCATTAAAATCAGTATTGATGCCAACACCTCATTGCTCACCACAGCAATACTCGGTTGGATCCATGAATATGCTTAACAAGGATGATATATGTAAAACAAGTTGTCACAGTCCCTTGTGCAAGTTGTGTCTGTAGTTACTGACACTCATTCTCTTTTTCTTGTTTTGTTGAACCCACTGAAAACTGAGATCTGTTTTTTTCACTTTTTTTTTTTATTCCAAGGCTACATGTAGTTGTAGTCATGCCATGTCATACATGTTTCACACTGAGTGTTGCTAAATGCTGCTCAGCCCATAGACACCCTCAAGTCACCTAATCACTCTGATGGTTTTGAGCTTTGTAAATGAGCCTGTGGTGGGCCCACAGTCTAAGCTTCTTGAAAAACAAGACTCCTCAATAGCTTGCATACTTTTGAAACTGAAATCTCTATTTCTCTTTGACTTAGAAACTGATTTTTATTGTATCTGCTGTTGGTGATTTATTTTAGCTGGTGAGTCTCTTCTCTTAGAATGGACAATGGGTCGGTGTTTAATGCTGCCATATTCTATTTACAGTTGCATTAGGTTTTTTTTTTGTTTGCTTTTTGGGGTTTTTGTTGTTTTGTTGTGATTTTTTTTTTTTTTTTTTTTTTTTTTTATTACTAAGTGACAGAATGAGAGAAGAAGCAGGTGTACTTGGAGCTGTGCCCAACAGCATCACTTTAAATCTCTGTGTACATGCAAAAGAGAGTGAGGGAGCTCACTACTCATCAGCACTGTGGGATGCAGGCACAAAACCCCATTGATCCAAAATTCAGTGAAATCCTTAAGGCTATAGCAGCGATACATGTGATCTGATGACTAAACTGGCAGCAATGTTGTTTTCTTTTGCAGTATCAGGGGAAAGAAAATGGAAATGCTCTGCAGAACGTGGTGCATTCCAGGGATGGCTGCACTGGCCCTAACATTGATATGCTATGAGGAAAAGTATGTTGAGGTCATAATGTATCTTCCCTGAGTCCCTGCTCAGCATGCACCGTCTGTGTTTGAGCTGAAACAGCTGCTGTTCCCCAACACGAAGGAAGAGTGGGGTATGTGCCGGGGGGAGCATCAGCACACATAACGTGTGACTGTAGCAATTGCTTGGTGTTGGTTTGCCTTTTCCTCACTGGGTGCTTCTATTTCTAATTCTTGTGTAGCAGTGATTTTTGTCTGGTTTTAACTGATTTGTCAGTATAGCACTTTTCTGCTTTAACGTGAAATTCCTGTTCAAAAAGCAGAAGTCT